CATTGTGACTGACCTGCTTTCCTCCTTTTCTCCTGAGAACGCCTCTTCTGGGCCAGACTTGGGCTTGAGGGGCCAGTGCCTAACTCCTAGTGGTCCAGAACATGTATGGCTATGGTGAGCCCTGCAGTCCTTGCTCCCCCTAGCTGCAGATCATGGAACATGTTTGATATTTGCCATAGGTGTCCCATGGAGTCTTTAGTGGCATCTGTAGAATACAAGAAGAAATGCTACTGGACAAGGCAGGCTCACAGACCCTTGGATGAAGGACAAGGGATGTGAGAAAATTTATCCAGAGGAAAGACAGAGCCTACAGAGCCAGACAGCCTGGGTTCACATCATGGCTCCTCACTTACTAGTTGTGTGTCCTGGGCAAGTGACTCCATCTTTCTGTGTCTCAGACTTTGCATCTGTGAAATGGGTCAAAGACAATGTAACCCTCAAGGGTTATTGGGAGGATTAGTCAAATTTAATCTGAAAGGACACTTGGATCAGAGACTGGCACAGAGTTGGGACTCAATATAAGTCTGCTGTATTCCTTCTGCCTCTCCTAGCAACTCCTGTGGGGGATGTGGGATCATGTTGGGGAGCAGAGTGGGGCGTGAGATGGGGAGTTCATAGAGGATCACTGACAGCTCCTCTGATCTCACTCCTGTGGGTCTGTCTGACTCCTGCTCCAGCCCAACTCTGCCCCAGCTGGGTGACTTTATGAATTTATTCAACTTCTCTTTGCCTCTGCAAAAGGAGGCCAATAATAACAGTACCTACCACAAAGTGCTGTGTGGAAGATTAAATAAGTGACTACAAGTAAAACTGAGATCACATGCGAGACTATGAACCAGAACTTCCCCGGAGCCTTCCTGAATTTCTGACCCACAGAAACCATGGAACATAATGAAATGAGTATTATAGTTTAAGCCACTCAATTTGGGGGTGATATGCTATACAAAAATTCCAACTAGAACTAGAGCTAGAATATCAATAGACTAGAACACCTGCAGAGTATTCTGTGACAGAGAGCCGCGGCAAGACTGAATGTGTGCCATTGCCCATCCTAAGTGAATGCAATTGCTTCAGAACCCATCATCTGATGAGTATTGAAAGGAACACATTTTCCAGATCAATAGCTATATACCAAGCACCAGGGACTGCTGTCAACTGTTCTAGTAAAGACACAATTGTGAGGGTGCTTGGTTAAATTTCTGGTAGTCCATCGTCATATGCCATAAGCCATCTGGTTTTGCAGACTGGAGAGTTGAAACAGATGGAGTAAGCTTCCTCCATTCTTTCTTTCCTGCTGAATGAAACTAAAACCTGGGACACAGTGAATGAGGTAGCTCTCTGAGGATTCTGAAAAATAAAGGGTGGCATGTGGATAGAGAAGGAAATCATAAGCTAAGGAATGAATGATCCATAGGTGAGTTTCCTGGGTTTTTATCTCTCCCATATCTTTCAGCCTGGACACAAAGACAGCATGATTCATGGAACTATGGACAGGTGTGAACACAAAGAGCTCCAAAAGAAGTCTTCTCTTTCTGATCCAAAAAGTAGGAATGGGGGACCCCATGAGTAAAAACAGTGGAAAAAATACTCTCTGAAAAAGACAGGACACAGAAGGTAGGTTGGAACTTCAATCTAACTGAGTTATCCTGAGTCTAATGGGTCAATTCCATGCTAAAATAAACACCCAGCCCCATCAACTTCTCTTTATGTCTTAAACAAGACTCAGAGCCTAATAATGTAATACGAAAAGTGTCTAGCATACAGTCCAAAATTACTTGAAATACAATTAAATAGGAATACCTGACAATTTCTCAAGTGAAAAGACAATCCATAGGTACTAACTCTGAGATGATCTAAATATTGAAATTAACAGACCATGATTTTATTATTAAGCAGCTATTATCACCAAGCTCTGAGAATTAAGTACTAACACTTCTGAAAAAATGGAAAGATAAAAGTCTCAGAAAGGAAACTGAACCTTAAAAAAGAACTAAGTGGAATTTTTAGAAGGTAAAAATACAAATAAGTTCAGTGGATAGGATCAATAACACAAAGGAAATAGTTATGGTAGTAGTCAACTAACTTAAAGATAAATCGATGGAAATGATCCAATCTCAATAAGAGGAAGAAAACAAGGCTGAAAGAAATGGACAGAGCTTCAGAGACTTGTGGAACTATAATAAAATGTCCACATTCGTATCATCAGAGTTCCAAAGAAAGAGGAGAAAAAGAATGATGCAGAAAATAAATTTGAGAAATAATGGGTGACAATCTCCAAAGAAGTATCACTTTCAAGATGGCAGGATGAGGGGCTCTGGAGGCCCATTCGTCGGTGAAACAAACATAACGGTGAAAACTATAAATAGCCTAGGCTTCAAATTTCAGTTTTAACACGTAAAGAGCTTGGAAGCTGTCACTCCTATTCTCACAGAAAGAAAAGAGCTCAACAAACTGAAAATCAACAACTCTTTCAGGTCTGTCAGAGAATTGAGGTCCTAGGGCAAGCTGCCATCCTGAAATCTGGAGAGATGAACACATAGAATTACAGCTAAGATCAGCTTACCTGAGGTGAGGGTGCTGAAGCCAGTAATCAAGAGGAACACTTCAAAGCTCATTATCACAAATTTCTGAAAATTGAATGTGGACTAGCTAGAGAATTAAAAACTTCTGGGGATGCAGTGTTAAGGTCTGTCTACCATTTCGACAGAAAACCTTGGTGAAAATGCTATTCATATTGACTGGAGGAGCTCTGAGTCTTATCAAGTAAAGACAGTCTTGAGAATGGGGTCTTCCAGGGAACTAACAGGCAGGTCAAATAATGACAATTCTCTCGTAATGGGGTTTTAAAGTTGCTCTAATCTCCTTCTGCCTCCCTCCAGTGGCTGCCAGGCTACTGATTTTCACCAAGATTGTGGGCTTTTCGTTTTCAAGTCTACTGTGGAGCTGGAGAGGGGGAGATGGGACTAGGCAAAGATAAATGCCACAAAGCTCACCATTCTCAACAAGATTCAACAATCTTTATTAAATAAACACACCCCAGATTGCTGTAAGCCTTTGGTTAATTTCAAGAGTTCTGAAAAATTTGGTTCTGACTGTTTCTTTTTCAGTTTTCTCATTGCTTTTATGTAGGAAAGAATTTCTGAGATCTTTAATGTGCTATTGTCACAGATATCTTGCTAGAGGGTTTTCAAAATGTGAAAATATTGTCACAATTTATGAGTCATAAATGTCTTCTGATCAACCTGGCCCTCTGCCAGAATGTTTTGTATTCAGGGGAGTCTTAGGCTAGTTAGTCAGGAATTGGAATTGTTGGGGGAGGGGAAAGACCCATCTGTGGGCTATAGGAAGAAGTCCAGGGCAACAGTGGAAAAATGGTGTGCAGAGATAGGCAGTGGCTGTGTGTCCAGGCAGGAATGAAGTTTGGTACCATGGTCAGAGGCTAGCAGGACCAGTGCTGATGGCCCCAGGTATATGTGCTTGTCCTTATTCAATTTGCTTCTTGGGGCCTCAGCCATGGGGGCCTCTCAGGCCTGACCTAATACCTGCCCAGAAAGGACATGAAGGTAACTTTTTCCTGAATTCTCCCTAAGCCAAATCTGTCCTGATTGCTGGTTTCCAATCTACAAATTCCTTCTGTCCTTCAGGTCACTTCTCAGATGTCATTCACAGTGATCATTCAGCTGCTTATGGGATTTAACTACTCATCCTCAGCTCAAAGATATTCTGCTTCTGTGGGCCTGGATGATGCTTCCTCCCTTATATCCTCACCAGAAGACACAAGGTGGTTTCCTACAAGTCTTCTTGCAGTTCTGGACTATGGGAAAGTCTTCCTATGATGCCACATTGGTTGCTGGCAACAGTAGGTGGAGAGTGATGGCTCTGGGCATGATGACAGTTGTTTGCCAGGGGTTAACGAACACCAACCTGGATCTGCTCATTCTCATAAGGTCAATGGGGTCTCCCAAAGAGCAAGGGACATGGTTTTCTGTGAAGTCAGATGTTTCTGCCCCTGATTAGCCTTTTGGTCATTCTGTGGCCTTGTACAAGTCATTCTCACACCCCAAGACCTCAGTCTCATCTGTGGAGAGAGAGGTTTGGGCTGGTCCTCTAAAGTCCTCAAACAATGATAGCATATTTACTTTTTATGGGAGAGGACAAATTTCCCCAGCCAGAGCAGCCCTGTACTTCTTCTTTCTTGCATCTAGTTTTTCATAACTCTTACTTGCATTCACAGTCTCAACTTCCTTACATCCCTTCCCCTTCTCAGTCCTTAAAATCAGACTTCTTCCTCCAAAGATATGACTCTCATCCAGAGCATCGATAATCTTTTTATTTACAACTTCAATGACCCTTCTCTTTGCCTGTCTTTCTCAAGCCTTTAGCAATGAACACTTTGAACCACTTTGTCCTTCCTCCTACACTTCCTCATTATCATCTTCATCATCTTCTTGCTAAGAACAGAAAAGAGGTCACCACAACTGGATGCAAGTAAGCACATCAGAACAGTCGATGACTTGTGTAGCCATCAGCTTCTTAAATGTCTTCCTTGGGGTCTCTCAGGCAATTCCATGCAGAGTGGCCACAGGTAAAGGTTTAATCTTCCTGCTGCAACCAATTCATCCTCCCACATTCCCAGTTACCTTCAGGCTCCCTAACCCAAGACATAGGTAGGAGCCTCACCTGCTCCCTCATCCTTCCATGTTCAGCTCCTGAACATCTGTCAAATCTGCCATTTTCACTTCTTGTATTGTAACTGGTGTGTCATCATCTATGCCTGGAGTGTTACATGAACTCCCAACCCACTGTCCACCATTCCTAAGGACACCAGAGCAGTCAGTCTGAAATCCAAACTCATATGGACACCTCCCTGTATGTGCTTAAGACCATTAAGATCTCTAGTGTAAGGTCCAAACTCTATTCTATGGCTCCAACCACCCATTCAGGGGCTGTTTCTAACCTATGAGCCCTCAACTGATGGTTAAGAATGACAAGGCTCCCTATGCAGGGGAAGAGCAATTTTATTTGGTGAGGAACATGGAATATAACACACGTCTAGTGAGAAAGGAAAGGGAGCAGTTTCCTCAGAGAGAATGCTGCTCTGGTTCTCCAACAATGACCACATCATTGTCCAGAACATGGAACAACATTTTCTGAGCCCTCAGAAGATGGTCAGGGAGTGTATTGAACAGCAGGAAATGGTTCTGTTGGGAGAAGACTCTAATTAGAATGGAGACTCAAGGATGTTGACTCTTGTTTCTATTGGCCCATCACCAAACCCACCTGCCAGAGGGAGGAGATGATGCTGAGACCCTAGAGATAGGGGTCTTGTCTCAGTCACTAGCGTAGCCCAGGCCTGGGATCAGGGGGCTCCTTGTTCATGTATTTGACTGTACGTTTGTATATCTGTGTGTACTTGTGTCTGGTGAGTCTGCAAATGTGTGCACATGAGTGTGAGTGTGCTGGTGTGAAAGTGTGCCTCTATATGTCTGTCTGAGTGACCACGTGTTTGTCTGGGCATGTGTGTGTGTGTGTGTGTCTCCATGACCCTGTGTGTTTCTCTTCATAGCTATGATGCAGTGCCGCCTGTGTCTCTCTATCTCTGTGAGCACTTCACTGGACATATCTGTGCACATCTGTGTGCATCACTGTGGCCCTTTGTCTTTCTCTTTGGATGTTAGTGTCTCAAGCCCCCAGCTGCCCCCTCCTGGGAGCCAGCTCCCAAATCCTGGGAAGTGAGGAGCAGCGCTCACCAGCTTAGCAGAGATCTGTCCCTTCCTGGAAGGCCTAGACCTTAGTGGCAAATTCCAGCCCATAGAACATCGTATCTGGAAAAAGAAAAAAACAACAACCACAGACCAGAGTGACAGTCTCAGTGTGAAGGAGTCCGGAGTTACCTCACCTGCCCCTGAGGCCTGTGGCCAGTGAATGGCCCACGCAGGCCTTGGAGGGGGCCTCACCTCCTCCAAGAAACAGCCCAGCTGTTTACAGTGTCAACGATGATGGGGGACACAGGGTCTATACCTCAACATTATTTGGACAATTCAAGGCAAAAAAGAAACTCAATCTATGGAGAGTTGAGGCTGGGGGGAGCTTGCATCCTGTGTTGTGCGGGGACAGAGCTCCTTGGGGGAAAAAGCTGCTTCTATGGAGGGGAAGCAAGGACTTACCAACAGTGGCCTCCAACAGGGTGGTGTCCAAGCTTCTGAGAACCTCTTTGAGGAGAGGACATACCTGACCCAGGGGCAGAGAGGGGAGTTAGGCAAGTGGCACTGTAGGGGTACCCGGGGGGCAGCATCCCCAGGATGGGTTCTCTGGGGAGATTTTATATCATTTTTCTGTCTGAGAGGTTTGATTCTCAGCAATCTCATTTCCAAACTGGGAAGACAGAGAAACTGAAGGCTTGTGTGTGAAGTGCCCAATCACACAATGAGCCATTATTCACTCTGTGACATGACGTCAGTTTCCAAATAGGGTGGACTGCTCCGGGAGTGGTGAGTATCTGGTTAAAGGAGGCACACAAATTTGGGCTGTAAGAATGTTCATCTGTGGCATAGGGAGCTAGACTGGGAGCTTCCTGGGGCAGGGGCCAGACCATTTCAGCTGCAGTGTGGAAAAGCACAGCGCCTGGTCCAGAGCAGGAACCAACCAATGCATTTTGAAAGATGGGAAGAAGAAACTGCACAGTTGGGTCAATAGACAGACAGTCTGATAGATGGAATTTACTTATGCGGATGAGCTCAGAAAAGCTCACCCCGGGGGCCTCTCTCAGCCTGATAAGCTCTAAGAGCCAACAATCAGGAGCCCCCACTTCCATCCACTTACCTTGTCCTTCACCAGCCCAGGAAGGATCTTGCTGAGGCTTTTGAAGAGGCCTTTAAAGGGCACGGGGACAAATCTGAAAGGGAAAAGACCTGAGGTTATGAAGAGGCTTGGGGTTGCTATGGGGAAGACTTCAGAGGGGCCACCGCTCCCACAGCAGCCTGAGCACCAAGTAACTGAGAATGGGCCTCGTCCATCCATACCTACATGCCAGGAAACACCAAGAAGACTATCCAAAGGAAGTAACAATCTACAAAGCAGTGCACACAGTAGGTATGTGTAGAATAAACACCTAGTTCCAGTACACAGTAGGTGTTCAGTGAGACTTTGTAGAATCCATAAATGGATGCACAGTGCATAGTATGTAGGTGTCATGATGATTCAACCAGTTGATGCATGTCAAGCACAATATATGTGTTCAGTAAATGTTAGACATGAGGAGGACAACTCCTGTATATTATGATGGAGTCAGTCTCCCTTGGGACAATAATTGAAATCAGTAACCAAGTTAAGCTCCAGAGCTATTTTAACCCTTACTGGGACAAAGCACATTCACAACCACTACATTAGTGAATTCTATCAACGACCCCAGTGTAGCTCCATATTACAGTTGTATGAGAAAGCTGAAACTCAAGTTGTGAAGCACGGTCCAAGTTCACACAGGAAGCCTTCCACCTGTCTCCATGTCCCTCTGGTAGATAGAACTTGAACTCAGATTTCTCATTGCCTAATACAGCATAAAATTGGTCACCACTGGCTAACAAGGGACAGGTGACTATTTACCTATGCATCTATCCCTCCATTCTTCCATCCTTCCATCTTCCCTCCCTCCTATCCATCTTTCAACCCTTCCACCCTCCCACTCATCCATTCTCCCACTATTCTATCTTCAAAACCATCCATCCATCATCCAATCCTATTGTCTCTGGGCAGGAGAAGTCACCTCTCTGGCCTCACCTTTCAAGCACGGAGATTTCCAGGCTGCCAGGGGAGTAAGTGCAGCTGTCAAGGACCATGTAGATGTTCTGCTGTTCATCTTTCGAAGGTAAGATGTCTGCACTGATATTTAGCTTCACAGCCAGCTTTAACAGACTTCCAATCAGGGGCCTGTGGAGGAGACAGTCTGCTGCATCTGGCCCTACCACATTCTAAGGCAGATAAGGTTTTTCTTCTTGCCAGGGATGCCAGACTCACCTCACTCAATCTAGCCCCCACCTGTACTCATCTCATTTCCCAGTAGGAGAAACCAAGTCTCAAAGAGGTCAAGTGATTTTCCCAAGTGACCCAGTGTCACTTAGCATAGGAGCAAAAGATCTGAAGTTGGAGGCTTATGTCTGTTAGAGTCTAACACCCCCTTTTTTGCTACCCGTGGTCATCAGAGACTCCTTTGGTGACTCATCTTCCCATCCTCCCTTGTAGCCCACTCACACATTCACATTGAGTCTCATGAGCAGAGGGATGGTGATATAGAGACGACGGCCATGAGGGCTCTGGACAAGGCCAAGATCCTGCATCTGGGGATTAGTGATCTTCACACTGCCCAGGGAGCAACATTGGAGGGAGAAACATTAGTTCCTCTGTCCCCAAACCTAGAAACCACATTTAACCCAACTTTACACATCCAAGAGGGGGAGCTACCAATGAAGGGGAGTCTTGCAGGAAAAGCCAGATGGGTTTTGAGTTGCACATCAGTCTTTCCCAACCTCTGCAACGGGTCAGATTCTGACACACACATTGCCTTCTCCTCATCTCAAATCCACAAGATCTTCAAAGATAGAGAGTGTTTCTGGATTATTTTCAGCCTGCACTTCAGCTTAGAGACTTACAAAGAAAGGGGCTACTCTATGTTGGTTGACTTTGTGGACTGATGAACAGGTGGGTAGATGGATATGTACATGGGTGGGTGGAAAAGTAAATTGTTAGATGGAAGGAATGATGGATGAATGGATGAAGACATGGGTAAGTGGATGAGTGGATGATGTATGGGTAACTACAGTAGGTCTTTCACGGCTAGGAATCACTCATCCTGCCATGACCTTCAAAGGCAGGTCAATCAATCAACAATGTTTATCATCGAGATTGAGGAGCATGAAGTCAGAGAGAATGGAGAGAGGATGAAAGCATGCCTCTTTTCTGGGCCAGCCACTGTGCCAGGTGATTTACATCCTCTCCAGTTCCCCTAACAGTTTTTCTCTGTAGGTAACATCATCTTTCTTTTACAGATTGAGAAACCAAGCACAGAGAGACTGAGCGTCTTGTCCCAGGTCACCCAGCAAGTATATGGTGAATTTAGAAATCAAATTCAAGGCTATCTGTCTGTCTTCAAGCCAGGACCAAGCACCTAGGTGGGTAGGAATCTTGGAAATGGCTTTGATCCAGCCCTAGGAAGGACTCAGGCTTTTCTAGCTCACTAGCATCAAGATTTACATTATTGCTCCTTGCTTAGAGAGCTCTCAGATATCTCATGGGAAACAGCGTATTAGATCATTCCATGGACATCACATTGATGATGAAATTGAGGAGAGGAGCTTACACTTTCTTGCTTACATCAAAGGCCACCTGTGTTCTAAGGGGTTCCACAGGTGGGGAGAACAAAACTAGCCTGTGTAGTGAAAAAAGCCTTGGCCTGGACTTGAGTAAATTGGAGTCAGGTCCCTTACTCTGCATCACTCTAGCTGTGTGAGCACAGGCTCCTTTCAGTGCCTCAGTTTTTTCATCTATAAACTGGGGATTATCAAATTGACCTCAGAGAGTTGTTGGGAGGATTATAGATGATACTGGGGACTCAGGACATGCTTCAGGACTGGGGGCAATTACTGGTTCAAGAGGGCTGTAATTCCCTACCAGACTGTGAGAAGGGTCTCAGACTGAGTCCTGGGCTCATGTTCAGACCACCCTCTCTCTCCTTCAGGGCCACTGCCGGGGGCTTTCAGATCTCCACTGGGGATTCTCTTCTGGGGACAAGGCCCTATTTCAAGGCTACTCACTCAATGATGTTCAGGAAAGGCATTCCTGAAGCTATTCTCCCAAGCAGTCCCTTAAACAGGCCTCTGGAAGTGATTCCTTCAGTCTTCAGTGCATCCGAGAGTGGAAGCTTTTCGAGACTGCCCAACAGACCCTCAGAGAGCAAGCCATGGCTGAGAGCTGGAAAGTGGTGTAAGGGTCCTCAGGGGTCAGATCTGACAATTCCAGATCCTTAGCCCCACTCCCCCATTCATCCCTGACCCCCTGCCTCCATTGGACAATTGGACACACACACACACACACACAGCTGAAACAGGTTGTCACAAAATCTCTCTTACCACTAGTCAAGCTTCCAGAAAAATCTGTGAGACTGAGGTCCAGGTCTGGAGTCACAGCCAAGGGCAGGGTTGGGTCCAGGGGTGCTTGCAGAGCTCCCAGCAGGGCAGTAGCCTGGGCCAGCAGCCCACAGAAGACCATGAGGCCACTAATTTGAAACATCTTCTCTCTTTGTATCTGAGGACAGAATAACTGGTTCAACATAGTACACATACCAGAAAGGAATTCATCCACCTGGGCCCTCCCGCAGAACACCAGGGAGAGAAGAGCAATAGCTAACACTGCTCCCCATTTCCTCCAGGGTGTCAGGCTGGGTGCTCCACACTCAGTAACCTGTGTCATCCCAACCACACCCTAAGACGTGGGCACTCATCACTCACATTGCCCAGGTGAGGACATGCAAGCCTAGTGAGTTTAGGTAACCTCCCCCATGGTCACAGGTACACAATGGCGATGAGACTTAAAGCCAGATCTGTTTGACCCAGAAGCCTCTGTTTAAGTTAAGCAACCATCATATTTACTCTCCAGTTGAGCTTGCTCACAATGGCTTGAATCAGACAAAGCAAATGAAAAACTAAACACACCAGTGGCTGAAGAACTGAACTGCTTTCCACTATCCCCATTAAGTCCTTCGATCTGAGCCCAGCTCTCAGTGGTCCCTGCAAATCACAGAATATCAGCCGTCACACCATCATAGCCCCCAACTCATCCAGACGAGTGCTGCAGAAATCCTGGGGCCATCCAAAGTTCTCACCAGGGTACCAGAGAGGAGTAGTGACTTTCCCAAGACTACACAGCAAATTGATGGCAGAGTTGTGTTTGGAGGTCCCATCATACCCCTTCACACACACACACACTATCTTTTCTTCACCTTTCTCCTTTCTCTTCTCCCGCAAGTGAACCTGGACAAACCTATGGGGCAACCCCTGACGTCTGGCTGCCTTTTGCACCATCCTCTCCCAGATACCACCAACCCTCTCAAGGGCCTATTTGGCAGTGAACAAAGGTGTCAAAAGCTGGGACTGGTACCTACACTTTGGAGACCTCTGAATGCTTTGGGCAAAATTCCATCAACTGGCCGATTTAGCCAAAACACCATCATTGTTGTGACTGGCTGGGATCAAAAGGGCTTTTTGATTCAAAGAGCCAGTTGTGGCTTCCCTGGGCAGGTAAACTTGGATTTGGGCCTCTGAACTCCTTTTGGGAAACAGATATTTTGTGGATCCATTGAAAGCTAAGGAGTCTAGTCCCAGAAAAATGCATCAAAATGTGCAAAATTGGAGGTCGGCCTGGTGGTGCAGGAGTTAAGTTCGCACATTCTGCTTCACCGGCCCAGGGTTTGCTGATTCGGATCCCAGGTCCGGACCTATGCACCGCTTATTAAGCCATGCTCTGGTAGGTATCCCACATATAAAGTAGAAGAAGATGGGCATGGCTGTTACTCAGGGCCAGTCTTTGCCAGCAAAAAAGAGGAGGATTGTGATGGATGTTAGCTCAGGGCTAAGATGTAGAAAACTGGGTGGACTATAGGAGGTTTGTGGATCACGGTCTGAATCAAGTTAAAACACTGTAGAGATTTTGATTTAGGGCATGAAGAGCATACACACGAGAGAACCCTAACATGGAATTTCAGCAGTGTCCCCTGCAGCCATGAGCTCCCCATCACCATCAAATTCCCTGCTGCTGAACATTTCTACATTGAGGTTGCCGGTCTCTTAGGGAAGCAGAGTGAATGGCCATCTCACTCCCCACAAAATGGCCAGTTCTGTTTCCCTTCAAAGACTTCAATGAATGATCCTAACTGCAGTCAGCCAAGGCCCGGCCCACAGTGAGGAGCCTGGGACCCCTGCCGCCCTGGGCAGCAGAGCAGAAGCAGATCAGGCAGGTCTCACCTGGGCTTCTCAGAGGTCCTGGCGGCTGTCCTGGTCTCCTCTTCCCTCTCCTGTTCGCTTCTGCTGAGGCAGCCTCTTTTATAGTGTGGGAATCAGGAAATGTGCGATCAGATGATGGGTTTCTAGATAATTCAGAATTCTGTAATCTGCTGGTGTCTTTCAGGGCTCTCTAAAGTAAATAATTGCCAATCACATTAGTAGGTGGGACAGTTAAGACATTTGATCGGCAAGTTAAACAGAGAACAAATTGAGATGGAGATGTTGCTCAAGACTTCACGGTTTCATGAGCAGGGTGCAGGCTGGGTACCCGCACTCAGAGGTGGCCTGGAAGATCAAATTTGGAACACCGGGAGAGGCAGGAACTGGAGCCAGGAAGGGACCTCAGGTTCACATCTAGGCCCTTTTCCATTCCTGGTTCTATTATTCTTCTCCAAACTGTCAAAGTGTCAAAAGCAGAATCTGTCTCTGATTTCCCTACATCTGGGATGTCTGAGTCCCTATTGCATGACAGTTCCATGCTGAGGACAATACATCCTCAACAGAACTCTTGAGGGAGGGGCTGCTGGTCCTCCTCGACAGAGGAGAAAACTGAGGCCCAGTGGGGGTGAGTGCCCAAAGACACAGAGAGGATGTGGCAGAGTCAGAACTCAACTCACTGGATATTAATAACCATACAAACAGTGTCAACAGATAACACTTGCTGAGCTCTTGCTGTATGCCAGGCCCGACATTGCTTTTCACATACAGCATCTCATGAATCCTTGTAACTTTGTGTGAGGCGGGGATGAGGACCCCCATTACAAGGGGGAAACCAAGGCTTAGGGTGCGGGTTGATGCATCCAGGGTTGCACAGTGGGATGGGGCCGAGGCATCTACAGTTTGGTCCTTTCTCTGAGTCACTGAGTTGAGGGATGAAGACATCTTCTGAATACTCACTGACTGTTTTGCTTTCCTGCATCTGTGAATGAATTTCACACTTTCTTGAAATTTTACTTTTGTATCCTGAAAAATGCTTTCCAGGCTCCCAGGACTGAGGGATGCTGTGCATCCTGGTCTCTACCTTTACCCTTTATTCTTCCCTTCCCCAAAGGGAAGAATTCCCTTCCAGCGTTTGTACACACCCCTTGGGACTTTGGAGTCTGTTTTACAGAAGAAAATACTGAGGCCTGGAGAGATCAAAATCTTAGAGCAGTGAGAGCATGTCTTGCCCTGCAGAGCCTAACACCTTATGATCAAAAGCAGAGAGAGAAAGAGGAAATGCACATTTATCAAGCACCCACTATGTGTCAGGGGATCTCCATATTTGAACCTCGTCTTGTCAGGAGTAGTTGGTATTGTTTTCCCTGAAACATCGGATAAGTAGACTGAGGTTTAGAGAGGGTGACTACTTCCCAGAGACACACAGCAAGTGATTGGTGCATTCAGAATTCACCCCCGTTTCTGATGTCCCTGTAACCAGTGAGCCATGCTGCCTTCCCTCCCTCCAGGCCTTCACTGGAACCACTCCCACTTCCTGAGAGAGTCTGCCCTATTACTCTGAGAACCCAGGACGGTGGTTTTGAACTCCATTGTCCCTTCAAGCACTCACTAGAGCCTTCCCACAGCTTGCATGCTGTCAGTCATCCTCAAAGGGGTCCCATTTTTTGTTATCTTGGTGCAACTCTTATGGGTTGGGTCAGGTTGCTACTGTCCTTTTGGGGAAACAGAGGCAGATAAGTCAAGGGACTGATTCAAGTTTGTGCAGCCAGTTACTGGACAGCTTACAGCCTCTGGTTTGAGGTCACTAGACTGCTTCTGTTATTATAGCAGAAAGGGGATGGATTTGAGCACAAATGGTCCTGGTTCAAATACTGTGACCCTGGGAAAGTCACTCTGATCCTTGAAGATCAGTTTCCACAAGTTTAAAAGGGAAAGAAGTACCTACCTCACAGGGTTGTCGGGGATAGCGTTGGGGATGCTTGTAGCAATCCCAGTCCATAAACTGACATGTCTAGATGTTTTTCTTTCTAATGTACCAATAGTTTTGTTATCATATCAAATGCCATTTTGCTGGGTAAAAGAAACTTCCCCATTTCCCCCTGGGGTTTTATTTCTGACTTCATTTGTGCCGAGGCATCTGAAGGAGGCTGCCCTGTCCCTGTTTTGACTGGAAATACAGAGACATCCACATGCCATCTGATCCCCGATGGGGGAGACCCTGTGCTTCCCTCCTGTCCAGACGCCCCTTAGATTTAGCATTTACTTCTCATTCTCTTGTTAGACACCCCAAGTTTCTGCTGTTTCTTGTTTCATTGGGCAGGACCAGGGGGAGCCAGCCCAGCCCATCTGCCTGGACCCCTCTGGACCCTCCAGTTAATCTTCTCTCCCCAAGGTCTCGTCATCTCTCTCGGCTCTTCAAGGGAACATGGGCAGAGACACCCCCTGTTCTTGAATCCACTGACTTAGGTTTTCTGCGTCCCTCCTCCCATGCCAAGTGTTGCCTGGGGAGTCGCAAGGGCATGAGACACTTTCCAGAACCCACCAGAACTATGTTCTCTTAATTTCTCTTGGATCCTCACACCCCACCAACCCAACATGGGGAATTTTCTAGTCTTGGGGACAGGAAACCTTGCTTCAATTCACTATTTGTGTGCTATTCTTGGTGTTGCCTATGCTCTGAGATTTGAAATCGAAAAACCGAGACTTAAAAAACTCTTTTAAAAAGATCAACATACAGTGGTATTAGCTTTTTTCTTTTGATGTATATTTCTATGAATGTTAACTCATGTGTGGTTTTAGGTAGCCACCATAATAATCAGGATACAGAGCAGTTACGTCACCCCCAATACTCCCTCATGCTGCCCTTTTATAGTCACACCCTCCCCCTACTCACTGATCTGTTCTTTGTCACTACCGTTTTGTGAAACACCCAGGCTGTGGAAACTCAAGAGCTTTCTCTCTGCCTCTGACGAAGTTGCCCTTCCTTGAATCCACAGGGCTGTATGTTCCACTGCCCCGAGCAGGGCAGGAGTCGTGGGGCGTGAGGAAACGTGGAAGGCCATGCCTCTGACATTTGGAGACAGTGTTTTCCGCATTGGTGACGTCAATGGCTTCCCTATGTGTTCCTCAGAAACTGCAGGGGGTGCCCTTTGCTTCCCACCTATCACAGTGTAACTGTGGTTAAGAGCCTTTACTGGTATCGTTTTTGTGAATTAAGAGATCCGTTTTTAAAGGGCAGAGCTAATTTTATTTTTCAAGCAGTTCTGACCTGCGCAAGGTCTGTTCTCTAGAATGTGGGAGTGAGATGATGGTTCTGTTTCCTGGGAGCAAGGTCAGGTAGGGGCTGAGTTTGAGGGGGGCCTTCAGATGGCTTTAGAAACCCCAGTGGTTTTGTTGAGGGGCAGAGGGCAAAAAGGTTTCATGGAGAGCTAGGCGCTCCAATTTTTATGAGAAAATAAATTTTCTTAAGCAGAGTTTGCTTAAGTCAAGTTCCACTTGCCTTGGAGATTAAGCTTCCTACCTACATTTACAGCTAGTAATTATAATAGCTTTCTATGAGATACTAGCACTTTATCCCATCTCTAAGAACCCCGTGGGTGCACTGAGGCTCGGGGAAGACAGTGACCTGCCCAAGGTCACCTCAGAGGGAAGAGGTGATATCAAAATGATGTTGGGGCTGTCCAGCTTTGATGCTCTTAACTTCAGGAGCAAATTTGTGTTACAGAGTCTTCATTTTAGAAAGTGCCTGCTCACGTTCTCAGGTGGAGCCTACCTACCTGAGAAATCAGACAGTTGCGGTTCCAAGCCTGGCTCAGCTGATGACTCTGGGTCTGAGTCTTCCCCTCTTCTAGCGTCTATTTCCTCATCTATCACGTGGAGCTGACAGCACCCAAGTCCCAGGGCTGGCAGAGGGTTAATGAGGGTACATGCAGCTCACTGCCGAATCCCCACACAGAGTCAGAGCTCTCCAGTGGAAGGCCCACAGCCATTACAGGCACAGACAGGGAAGCAGGGAGTGAGCTTCTTAGTACCTAGGGCTGAATTTCTGCTTAAATTACTCCTCACCCCAGTAACATAATAGAGGTCCATTGTGCAACAAGCTCTTTCAGGAGAAAGCACACTGAATCCAGGGCTCTGTGAACATTAAAGTGAAAGAAAAAAGATCAGGAGAAGCCCAAGGAGGCCCCTTGAGGAAGGAGGCTCCCACCCTTCTCCGCAGGAGTCAGGAGAACAGACAAAAGCAGCCTCCACTGAGGGACCAGGCAAGCTCGCTGGAGGATGGGGCCCACCCTCCCATGTTTGCTCTTTGAATCATGAGCAGGACAAACCCCACAAACTCAAGGCTGTCAATGGGAGTCATTTTGGTGAACATGGGGGTTTGGGGCTGCAAATCCTCAGGAAAGCATTTCAGATTAGGGAGTCTGAATTGAAAGATGGAGACATGGGGCTCTCTTGCCATATTTTCATCTCCGAGCTGTTGATCCTTCCTTCCCTGAGCTGGTCAATTCAACTGAGCACATATTTCATCGTTTCCCTTCAGCGTGTGGGGAGGGTGTCAGAAGGAAGGGAAGGAAGGCTGCAGGGGGCATTCACAGTGTTCAGGAGTGTGGGCTCTAGAGTCTGGCTGCCTGAGTGCAGTCAACTTGGTCTTTCCTGCCTATGTGACCTTGGGCAAGTGGCTTTCTCTCTCTGAGCCCCAGTATCCTCCTGCATAAAATTGGATAGTAGTCTTGTACTTCATGGGATTGCTGTGAGGATTTTCTGAGATGCTGAATGGAAGCTCTGAGCACCCAGCTTGGCACATGCCAAGTCTTAACATGAGTGTGCTCCTATTATTAATATGTCCATGTTATCTCCCCTTGATTTCTCAGTATGCTTTCCCTCTCCTTCGGTGGAAGAGGGCAGGAATAAATAATTAAGATCTAAGAGTCATTAATCCCAATAATTAACAATGAATCAAATGACTCTAGTAAACATTTCCCATGGACCTTGCACATGATAAACATTTTGCAAAATTTTCCACATACTCCTACAAACATGTTGCAAGGTAAATAATTTTTATTTTAAACATATTTGATAGGGGCCAGCCCAGGGGCATATTGGTTAAATCTGGTGTGCTCTGTATCAGTGGCCCAGGTTTGTGGCTTCAGATCCTGGGC